GCAGGAATTCGGACCAAGAACTCGAAGCCTGACAGTCAAGACCTGAAGTCAAAACCATGCCTTTTGCTGGCGAGAAGGCGGTACGCAGTTCAGTTACACAAGAACACAGGCTTTGCTCAGCTGTAGTTACACATCCACTCCTATTTCTCTCTCCTGCCCAGTCTCTCCCCAGGGATGGTGGAACTGCTGCTCGTGTGTGAACACAGCCACTAGCTTGTGCACAGCAAAACACATGTTGCTCTCCGAACACGTATGCTAGCAAAGCACATTTTGCTGATCCCTGGAGTACATCCTTAAAATCTCTTTCAGTCACCCGTCTCACAGGCATCAAGTTTTTCGGGAGCTGAAGACAGCAACTGTGAGTTAGACGTTGTTTGGAAAAGAAAACACAGACTTTTCCCCTTGTTCAAGGCCCTGTGCAATGAACACTGAACTGGAAATGCAGAAGCTGGTTTCTGGTCTTGCCCCAGTATCTACTGATTCACATTTCGCTGAGTTTCAAAGCCTTCAGAGCTAACTAGTATCATAAGAAGAAAGGATTCACCTATTAGTCCAGCCCCTTCACAAGCAAGCAAAGCAATGGTATGACATCGGGAGGCAGCGCTGCCTTTGAGATCGTTTCCTTCACTGGATGGTTCAGCCTCTCATGCCGCAGTCAAGCGCAGAGCCTGCTCTGAGCACTGACTAATGAAATATATCACTTATTCTACTAGGAAAAAAATCGGGGAGCTGTTAAAGACCAGGACCTGAACACACCGACTGATTTACGCTGCAAGATAGTATTGCTCCGCGCCACTTGTGATGTAATCAAGTGGTGAAGTCATGTTTCCCATTTCAAAGGCCATTACCATGAATTATGGAACGACAATTCCCTAGGAACAGAAGCGGTGCCACTGCTGATCCCTTGCGGCCCAGCTGAGCCGCAGGAGAGCAGGCGAGCAGCACGATAACACCTCGAGATGCTCTCAGAGGCCAGGGCTCGTCTACGCCGACGTGAACCTTCAGCTCTGCGCTTGAGATAGGTCAGGCAACACGCCGGCTCGCGAAGGCACGGGGAGCAACAGCCCAGAGCCCGCACGGACACCCTACGGCCAGGAGCTGTCTTCCCCACAGAAACACTCCCTTTCAGCCCCCACCCCAACCAGTCTTACTGACAAGGCAATTCTGAAAATGTGCACACGTTTAAAAACTCTTGAGACCGCAAGCATTCAAAGTTTCACCTCGTGGTACGAGAAACAGCACTTAAAACCCATGCACAGCTCTGCTATTAAAAAGCCAACCACCAAAAGCCCCATTCTTTGAACAAAGCCAGGCAAACCTCCTTTGAGGGATACGCAGCTATCCGACCTGGCAGAAATCCAAGTTGAGCCTCAATTATCGAACCACAGAAGTAAACCTGGCAACCTTCTCGCAAGCAGATCTCTTTTCATGCCGGGACCAACTTGAAAGGGGCTGAGTGGTACACCTCAAGCTTTATTAAACAGGCGAATCTCAAGTTGTTAATAAACCCAGGGACACGGCCCATGGCTTCCTGCCTTCGTAACAGCCCACCTACGCAGCGCACGCGTTATCGGCCGCCTCCCACGCGAGGCGGTTGCTGGACTGAAGCGACTCGAGTGGGCACCTTTGAAGAAGAAGCCCAACATATTCGCCGCAGCAGCTTTCATGTTCAAAGCGGTCACGACAGACAGCAAGGCAGGCATTGCTCTTACAACATTACAACGCGCGTTTCGAAGGTGAGCAGTTCCATCGTATAATTGACTTTGTGGTACATACGAGTTATCAGGCAGAAGGGAATTTCATACAGAACTTAGGAATATCGAGTGCCCATCCCTCATCTGTTTTATGTGGGAAGCGAGAAGCCTTGTGGTGTGTTGTTGTGTTTAAAAATAAAAAAAGGACCTGTGAAGGCCGTAAAGAAAAAACCTGAGGATGATTTTAACAGTATTTCTTCCCACACATGCTCCCTGCCAGCGCGTGACAGCACTCATACTGTCAGCCTCGCTGCCCCAGCCTACACACGCTGCCCCGATGCCGCAGCATCCGAGGCAAGATTTCCCTTCACGGCAGCAGCAGCGGCCAGCGCTGGAAGGCAGGCTGGCCCGGCAGAGGGAGCGCCTTTGGGCTTCCTCTCACTCCAGCCCTTGCACAAAAAAATTAAAAAAGGACAAGAAGAGGGCAGATCTGTACCAAGCTACAAGGTGCAATAGGTCTACTGTGATGCTTACAGCCATCTCAGCAGGCAGCTGAGTGCAGGTCCCAGCTCCCTCTTTTTATCTTTCTCCGGCTGGGAACATCTTCCCAGCAAGAACCATTTACAGCCCCTTATTCCTTGATTTTTGCAATGTAGGCAACTCAGGCAAGATGGGCAGGATGAGACTAAATGGAAACGAGCTCAAATTTGCCTTTGAGTTCTTGTACCACGTTTCACTGCGAAGACTGGCAACAGCAGCAGCCACAAATCCAGCAAAACCCACGCCGCTTTGCCTGTAATGACCCCTAACTTAACCACTAGCAGGAGCTCCCCTTTGCCAGATGTGCGAATGCGCCATTCCCAACCCTCATCCCAGCACGACAGAGCCCAGCTGCGGCTGGGTGATAAGCAGAGGATACCTCACACCAGCTTCCAAAACCAGTAGGAGCAAAGCTGAGAAGAGATTCACCTCCAGCAGCAAGCCATGCAGAAGCCTCTCCTTTTTCCTTTGCAAACTGCTTACCAGAACATGTGGGGAACCTGGAACACAGCTGCAGTAGCACACAAGCTACACAACAACAACAAAAAAAGGCAAGCCAAAAGCTTCAAGTAACCGACTGTAACTCACACCAGTTAACAAATACAGCACTGGGTTTATTTTTGTTCTCAAAGACGACTCGGTAGGTTCGTTACCTGTAACCAAAGTACTCTATCGCAGAAGCGAGCTTCCAGGAGCGGAGCCTTGCGGTAAGAAGTCTTCACATGTACAGTATTTATATCATACAGAGTACACAATAAATTACTATCTACATGCAACATACCTACAAAAAGTTACATATAACGTAAAAAAATACAGTATTTTCTGCTCATTTTTTGTTTTAAATTTTTTTCTGTACATTTTTTCATTTACATTTTTATATACATTTTTGTAAACTTTTTTGTTTTTATAAAACTGAAATCACGTAACAGTTATGAACTTACGGCACCACTCTCACCGTTCTAAACCAACGCTTGCATCTACAGAACAGGCTTTAGCTTGTTTGCTCCTTCATTTCTACTTCGGCACCACACTTCACACCGTTATTCTGAGCTCATTAGTCCGCTCGCTACCTAGCCATCTTCTCAATACGGAGAAACGCAACCACGCTTCAGTTTGTGCTTCAGTAAAGGAAGTTCAGAAAAAACCATTACATCAACTACTTCATCAACATCACTTTTACCTGATATTACTGCATAATATCAACTTTTCCTGCACTAACTGCTGTACATAAGCATGCAAACAAGTCTGATTATGACTCAATCAATAACATGAATATACTGAAAAACAACTACGAGGGTTAAATATCAAAAGGAATGTAGACTTACCAAGGTTTACCACGTTAATAAGTCTAACCTAATAGTATGGATTGACACGTTAACAGTTAAGATTTTAAACACACTGAAGTATACCATGTGATTTTCAGTGTAAGAACATCTGTATTAAAGAAAATGAATGAAATTACTCCCTGCCACACGCTTTATACTATCCTCTAGTGAAAACTAGCATTGACTGGAAACCTCCTGCTTGCCACGCAAACTCCTGCTGTGAAACAGGGATTCCTGAAGTTTATAAAAACCAAGCTTTAAAAAAGAAACAACCTCCTTGATGCTGAAAAGGAGCAGAGCAGGTAAAGCATTAAAGCGGTTTCAGCATTTGGCCCATTTGACAGGAAATCCTTTCAGCCTGGTACTATGCATACCTATCATTCCACATCACCTACTAAGCCAACTCCATCTACTCCCAAAACACTGAAGGGTGGAGGTGCCCTCAAGAGGACTCTAGTCCAACCTCCTGCTCATAGCAGGGTCAACGCTGAATTCAAACCAAGCTCGGGGGTTTTGTCATTGCTGAATCCTACGAACGTCCCAGGACAAAGGCTGCACGGCCCCACTTGGTCCACTCCCATGCTGGGCTGCTCCCATGGAGCAAACTTCTTCCATTAACTGAGAACCTCACATTGCAATTCAGTGAAAGCCTCTCGTTCTTGCTCCATGCTTCTCAGTCAAGACCCTGAAGTCATCTCCTCCTCAGCAACCTCCTCTTCGATACCAAAAGGCTGTTGTTCTATCCCTCTTTACCTCCAAAGGCCACTTCACCAGGCTGACGAAGCTCACTTCGCTTCGCCTCTCCTCACAGGTCCTGTGCCCCAAATGGCTCAATCATCTTGGCAGCTTCCTATTGGACTTGCACAAGTTGATCAAGGTCTCGAGCCCGAAACTGGACGCTGTCCCAAAGAGAGAATGAATGCCAAATCAAGGGAAGAAAAAATTTGCTTCCCTCAATCTATTGGCTGTGCTCCTGCTAACACAGCCCAGTGCGCTGACAGCCTTCGCTGCTGCCAGGGCACACTGCTCATCTGTTTAGCTGCTAACATTTTGGACCACCAGGTACAAGACAACATTTATGCTTCTTAACAACAGAACTATACGTGAACTTTTTTGCTGAACTGGGGAACCTGAACGGGATTTTTTCTTCCTTAAAATTACAACAACAACAAAAAAAAACAAGGCAGGCATTCAAAGCATTGATATACCACAGCAATTCTTGCCTTAATACAGTTTACAGATGACCACCTCATTTATTATTGCCAACAGACTCTACGGTGCATGAAACATCTCAACCTAATACAATCAAGACTTAATGCTAAGACCGAGAGCTAAGAGTTTGCCACTTCATTTTAGGTTTGAGTTCAAAGAAGAAGGTGCCTTCCAGATCACTTAGAGGAGAACTGCTAAGGCTTTCTTCTCCGCTGCTCATATCTTCGCAGGAGTCTTCACTAGAAGGAACAATAAGAAAGGTAATTTAAACAAAGCACAACCCCTTGGAAGTGGCAAAGTACACCTCAATCCTGTGTTTTCTTACAAGCTGTTTTGTTCCCAGTCTAACATCCCAGATCTTCTCAGCACTAAGGCTTAAATCATAACCAAGCACAATTTCCTTTCTCATAACATCAAAAGTCTCCTCCCAGCCAAGAAGCCAGTGTTCAAGAATTCAAATATAAATTACTTTAGAAGACTTAAATGATTTCTAAGCCTCCCTACCTTAAAAAAATAGCAATGCCTATCCCCACCCCATAAAGCACTTGTACTTTTTGAACACCACAATGACAGTTCCCCATTTTTCTTTCTTCTCTTTAAGATATATTTTAAGCCCATCAGTATTTTCAAAGCTAGCCATTTTTTTCCAATTAGTACTGAATAAGCCTAGTTATACAGAATTGCCATTAACATGTCCAGAAAATGAGAATTCCCAGATTAACCACCTGGCCTAAGTTTTACCAACCTCTCGCTTTCATTGAAACATCCCCCCTCCGGTATCGTTGGCAACTCAGGAACACTGTAGTAACTGTTCTGTAGATTTTGGGCTGTACGTCTCGAAACAATCCAAACTAGCTTTTTATGATCAGGCTTGCAACATTCAGGAGAAGAATAATCTGCTAGGCATTTCGAGACCAGTTCCCTCCAGTAAAGCAGGTCACTATCGCTTATCTGAAAAGCAGAAGTACCTATTTAGTCTATTACACACAGGCTCTAAAGATAACCCCCCCTCCATTTTACCTTCTCGGAAAACACTTTAAAAAAATCAGTCAAAATAAAAGTGAGTGGTAATTGTGATACTTTTGTCCAACTCGGGCTGAACTCCTGTGTACCTCCTAGAAATGTCCACACTGAAGTCTGAGTTGACAGTTAGCCTGTCAGTTCCTGTTAACTTTTTCATTATCAATTCCGAAGGAAAAATGAAAACACGATTATTCCGTTTCAAAAATGGAATTAAAAAATTGAAACTAACTTGAAAATGGAATAATCTCATACTTACCAATCCTCGAGAAACTGCATTAGTTAATTTGACTATAAGAGTGAAAAGCTTGTTTAGACCATCAACTGATATAGCTTCTAGCTGCATGCTCCCAGTCCTATGTTCATTATTCAGGCAAAAGAATCACCAGCCCAGCAGTCACTGTAGTTCTATGAACCCACTGGAAGGTTCTCTACAACATACAGCTAGAACTGCACAAGTTACATCAGCTGCTTGTTAAAGCATGTATTGTGTAGGCATGAGATCAGCATTCCTTCTGATTTTATACATTTAAGCTCGGTTTTTAAACCATAATCCTTTCGCTTGCCAGGCAGCTACCAAGATGAGCCAGTGCAAAATGACTACCTGACCTCATTCTCTAAGCAGCAGGTTTTTTGCATTTGGCATTCCACCAATGAAACCATGTTAGTTACAAGAGTTGCAGACAGATGCTTAAAGACCCATTTCATTGCTTATTTCAGCCGATACCAAACAGTACCTGTAAAGATTGTACACTGACAGCAGGGGTCCCTTAAATGTAACATTTACATCATTAACTGCACCAGTCCCAGGAACTGCAAAAACAACCCACAGAAAATACTTACTTTAGAATGCTTTTGAACCCGCAGAAGGATCTCCAAGAGCTCAACCGATTTTAGGGTCTGAACTTCTAGAGTGAGAAGGCACAAGGCCAAGACAGATGGCTAGGAGGACAAAAAACACCACTCCATGTGAAATGAACCAAAACCTACTCAGAATTCAAAGAAAGCTACTTCTACTTACTTTTGCTTTAGAAAAGACTAGACGACAGTTGCAAGCTTTTAGCTGTGCTTCCAATTTGTCGAGATTCAATACTTCTTTCCTGTAAGACACCCAAGAGAAGAAGCGTTTCATCAACAAGCATTCCCTTGTCAGGAAGTGAAAACTAAGGAGCTGCTGCCTCTACAGCCAATGCCATAATCGTCTAAGAGGCACCTGAAGAGAAAAAGGGCTTAGCAAACCTAGACCACCACCAACGTGCAACTCAACTCACCTTTCTGAGGTATGACAGAGTACAATAGTATGGTACAAGTGCAAGAAGGTTAAGGCAGTAGTAGCTTTAAATTCAAAGTGCAACTTCTCTGAAATTATCTTTTCCATCCGTTTCAGGTCGGACACAGTGCATTTACATTGGCTGATCCGGATGATCTCATGAGCCGATGGAATATTGCATTCTTCTTCGACTACTCGGGCGGCCAGTTGGAAACAGCAAACTCCAATGCAAGATAAATGCTTCGGTTTCACCTGAAAGTAAGAGGAAGCACTATGAATACCTCCCCACCCCAAACACCCCGCTTATCAAACAGCAACACCAACAGCTCGCTCAGCCTAGGTGAGCTGTTTTGAATATTCACAATTCAACTGAAAGACTCGCTTATCTCAACTAGACCTGACATCAGTCAGCTCACAGACCTCACCTAGTTGTAACAGTTTCAGCAAAACAGCTGGCCGAGCCAATAAAGCAATATCAATCTGCCATAATTAAGCCAGAGGAATTTAAGTTCAACAGCTGAGCACCCTCTATTGAAACTGTTCCACATCACTACACAGCAAATAGATTGCAGCAAGAACTGTAATACCCCACTTCTCCAAGCGGCAGCGCTCGCTTACCCTCATTTGAAGCCTACACAAATCCAGCCTGAGCCTGTTCTAGGCAGTCGTATCCCTCCACAACTTGTTCCTACCTCTGCTCTTCTTTCCCATGTACCAGCGTATCGTTTTGTGCAACCTCAAGGACGGTCAGACCAGAGAACTGATGCAACTTCAGTTTCTCTGCCAACTTAATAACGGGGAACTGGTTTAGGTTCAAATTGTCTGCCATAAAGCAGCACAAACACGAGAAGAATAACATCCGGGAAACGATCATTTGGTGTTACTTCCAGCGCTAAGCTAAGCTTTACCACGGTACCTAAAAATAGTCTGCCGCACAAATGGTTTTGTTCCTTCTTAATTCCTCCTTTCTTAGTCTTTTACATCTACATGGTGAAGGCTGCAGACTTGTTAGAGGAAATAAACCATGCTGCTACTTGCCTTTAGAGGTAAGAAGAGGCCGTGGTATAAAGCAGTTAATAAATCACATCAACATAAGCTCATCTTTCATGCAAGAACTGTACTCGACTTCAAGTTTACAAAGCAAGACTTCAGACATGTTGCTAGCATAGAGTAAGGAAATAGCCGCAGTTCCGTCCTAGATCACAGCCCTCCCCTTTTTGTCAGACAAGAAGCTTGCATATTCCCAGCTGACACTGTAGCAGGTCGTCTTCCCCCAAAATACCTTCATAAGAGCCAAGAATCTGTCCAGAATGTTAACAGCCAAAACAAACGTTTCAGTTGCAAAACCAAAAAAGTTGGTCAGACTCCAAAGATCTTCCACCTTGGCATTCCTTTGTCTCGCACACAGAGTATGTTCATTCTATGGTAAGAGAAGCAAAGTCAGAATTATTCAGTGGCAGCAGTCATGACTGTGACCACTCACTCCCCAAGTCATCTTTTACTTACATTGAAGGGAAGCAATTCTTTTCTTCCGTAAACACTGTATTTCTCCTAACTTAAAAAAATCAATTTAGATACTCAAGACTCAAAACACGCCCAAGGCACAGGGATTACAGCCAGGTCCTGAGTCTCACTGGTGCAATACCCAGCACAACCACATTTCCAAGTGCGCACTTATTATTCTAAGACAATAGTTACCCATTGCGTGCGTACACAGTGACTCCTGACCTTACGGAAACAGAGGTGACCAAACTCAGCTTATCCTTCTCTCTGTCTGCATGTCAATGTTTAATCAAGAAAAGTTCTGTTTCGAAATAAACAGACTGATTTCAGAGACTTTTTCTGTTAAACATTAAGGCTCTTTCAAAAAAAACCTTACAAGCAGCCAAAGGAATGCAAGCCTGCCCTAAACTCAGTAAGGAACTCTGGTCATTAACGTAGAAATGTTTATGCTTAGTTTGTTTTTTTCTGTTAAGCACCGAGTGTTTCTAGGTTCATTTCCCTCGACCTTGCTAATGAAAAGCTGGTCACTTCCCCATTTGTTCATTGCCTACTTGACATCCCAGCTTTCCTGCAGGGGTACGACACAGTGGTAAAAAGCTCCCAAAATGAAAATAAGACACTTCGCTTGGTTCTGCGCTCACTCGAACTTTAAACAATTACTATTAAACGCCTCCATATTTTACTTGCCCTGTAGGTCACCGTTCTTTGATAATGCAGTGTACAGATGAAGACAGAGTTAAAACAAAAGGCAAGCGGCACTGGCAGAAGGAAGAATTAACTTTCCGAAATTAAGGCACGTCTCCCTTCTGGCTGGGAGGCTTTTTTTAGCAAAACCCACGTACTGACTGCTCTGAGGAGGCTCCCCGCCCCCCCCCCCCCCCCCCGCGCCCGGGGGCCCGTTCGGGCGGGGCCC